CCCAGACTAGTGAATTAAATGGAGATACACTGGGGATGAGCACACCTGCATCCTTTAGGTTTTTAAAGGTACTACTAATCTCTGATGTTCCCCTCAGGATGAAATGTTTTTGACTTATTGGTGGACGTGGGGGAGCAGCTTTGGAAGTTTTCACTTGCTCTTTTTCATTACAATAGCTCCTATCACACAAGTCAAGAAAGCAAGACGGAGGTTGTGCTAACTACCAAGTATGTGCACGCTAATTATACATTTGGGGTCTGAATAAATGACCACTGCAAGCTAGACCTGGGTCATGATTCTATTTATTACCTGACCAACTCATGACCAACTAACAGGGAGGCCATGATGATGTTTTGGGTCTCTGTGTATCAAAGTCAGTCAGACCCTCTGACTGACTGTCCTTTCCCTACTGTCCTCTACTAAGGATCTAATACCTGAGTAAATGGCCATCAGTCCTTTTGTTACCATAGGCAGAAAGAATAGAGCTACAGGGAGAAAGGGTGAGGACAGGAAAAAGGATGTGAGGGAAGACATAATAAAGGAAAGAGGAGATGAGACCATTCTTTTTTTTTTCTTTTTTATTGTTAGTTTCAGGTGTACAGAACAATGCAATAGTTATCCTTTTCACCCTTCACACAGAAACAACCCCTCCCCCATCTACTGCCCTCCCACCCCCGATATCATGCTTATCTATTACAATTCCATTGACTCCATTCCCACCCTCTACTCCACGTCTACACCATGTATATATAATTATAGTTGACATATATTATTATTCAATATCAGCTTCAGAAATACAGTGCGGTGGTCAGACCTCTACCCCAACTATGGTGTAGAGATCATTCTTAAGAAAAGGTGCAGCTACAGCTAATTCTAATGGATTATATTGCTATTAGCATTGAGGTCAGGAAAAAATCTTCACCTCCTGTGTCGCCATGACAGTTCCAACAAGGGTTGGGTAAAGACAAGGGAATCCCACCTCCCAGATCCTCCCAGATGGAAGGAATAGTCAGCAAGGACCTGCCCTGGGAACGCCTGCAACTCCACCCCTAAAACTTGAATACTTCTCACCCTCATTGAATAAAATCCTAAGACTCTTTGTTCTTCGGTGCTGTTGCCCTCCTCCAGGCCTGCCCACTCCCACTGTTTTGGGAATGCACGCTATTCCTTTCTTTTAAGAAACCCACTGCCTGATTTGCTTTGTTTGCATCGCTTATTCGGTGTGTCCTTGAATTCTTTCCTGTAATAATACCAAGAACTTGTTCTTCAGTAACACCTTTGGTGAAGCATTAGAGGAATCAGTGCTGTATATACTTGCCACAATATCACAGGACCCCCACTCCAGGGGATCTAACCTCTCTTTTAGTCAGTGGTTCCCAGGTTCCCTGAAAACTGGCTCAGGTGAGGAAACTGGTCTAAGGGATCACACATTTTTATTGAGGCAGCTGCCGTCATCATCCATCCTTACTGTTTTTCACTGAATAGATTGAGTGATATCTCCGTTGGCTGCCCAACTGTGATACTGTGATTTATAATAAGGAATATACAGAGGGTGCCAAAAAAATGTATACACATTTTAAGAAAGGAAAAAACTGAATTAAATTTGTGATACTCAATATGTACCGATAACAAAAGATGAATACAAGTCACCTTTGACTTGTGCAATTATAAGAGGTGCTCAAAGTGGTTACCATCCGCATAATTTTAATACAGTTTTTTCCTTTCTTAAAATGTGAATACATTTTTTTGTCATCCTCTGTATATATTTGGCCTTTATTTACTGTTTTTGGCACAGAGCTTCTAAAACCCTAGGAATTTCCTAAGAGATGAGATCTCTTTTGTTATGTTAATAAGGTGACTTTTAAACAGTACCTAAAAATGGGGGCTGGTTGCCAGTGAAGCCAACCTTGTGATTAGAGGGTTGGAACTTTCATTCACACTCCACCCTGACCCCTGGGGAAGGGAGAGAGACTGGAGATTGAATTCAATCACCAATGGCCAATGATTTAATCAATCATACTTGTATAATGAAGCCTCCAAAAAAATCCAAAAGGAAGAAGTTTGAGAGCTTCCAGATTGGCGAACCAGAACTTTCTACGTGCCGTTGTGCCAGGCCCGAAACTCCACTAGGACAGAAGCTTCTTCGTACAAAACCTTGCCCTAAGTATCTCTTTATCTGGCTGGAGTTATATCCTTTTACAATATACTGGTGATCTAGTAAGTAAAATGGTTCTCTGAGTTCTGTGAGACACTCTATCAAATTAATAGAACCTGAAGAGGGAATTGTTGGAACCTCCAATCTGTAGTCAGTTGGTCAGAAGCACAACCTGGACTTGTGATTGGCATCTGAAGTAGAGAGGAGCCTTGTGGGACCAAGCCCTTAACTTGTAGAATTGGATGTTATCTCCAGGTAGATAGTTCAGAACTGAGTTGAATTGTAGGACACCCATCTGGTGTTGGAGATTTGCTGGTAGGTGTAATGAATTCCTCCCCCCAACACACACATACCGCCCCACAACACATTGGAATTGGATGCAGAACTCTAACCAACTATCTTACCTCTAGAGATGCCATCTCCATAACTCTTTGCCCATCAGACTCTCCTGGATTTCATTCTGACCTTACTATTAATTATGATAATTGCACTAGCACCTGGCCTGTATTAATTTGGGACCCTATCATTCCCATTGCTATTAGTGAGCCCAGTTCTGTAACATCTCTACAATCACCCCTTCCCTTCAGAAGAGAGCTACCATTGATAGCTCAGAGATGCTGTCCCTCTCACCAGCATATTCTTCATCACTCTGGCCTTCCTGCAGAACGAAGTCATCTGGTGGGTTTTCAAGGCTTACACAGTCTGCTCATTCTAGCATGCTCCCTTCCTTATACCTTTTGACCCCCTTCTTCCACTGTATGCCATGGGCAGTTCTAGCATTCTACTTTACTTAACAGGGGCTGCACTATCTCCAACCTTCTAAGAGCCATTCTAGCAGCATCTCAACACCTTCTCCTGGGGTTCTTGCCAGAGTGTTAAGACCTGTATCCCAGAAGAGTACTTCTATATCGGTAAACACTCCCATCCAGCTTTATGTTTTACCTCCATCCTTTGACCTAGCACTCTTAGAATTAAGTCACATAAACACACTCTTTGCTCCTGAGGTACATGGATCTAGGTTCTGCAGAACCTTCAGAGTATATTACCTTTCCTCCTTCTCAGGCCCAACACTGTTCTGTTGGTTTATAATGTAACCAGCTATTGATCTGGTGGCTAGGAGGGAAGGTGGGGACAGACCTTCAGGGAGCATGCCTGTGATCTTGAAGGGCAGATGTCTCTTAATCCCCTTCAAGCCAGAGGAAAGCATTAGTTCTTAAGGAGTGGACCTATTGTATATGTTCAGAGGGTTTGAGGAAATCTAGGCATTCAAGATCTGAATATCAACCCAGATGTCCTCATCTCTCAGGGTCTCATTTTTTTTTTCCAATTAGGGCCCTGGCTTTGCATAATAGACTTGGTTAGATTTGACAATTTAACATTCTTGAACTCTGCTATTCTTATTATTACATCCTGGGCCTGGTCCTCAGCTTTTTCTGCCCTTCCACTGCAGAAGAGTTTCTTAATATGCTACCAAGGAGGCCCATATTTAGCCTTTAACTACCGTATTGCCGGCGTATAAGACGATTTTTTGGCCCTGAAAAATATGCCTCCAAGTGGGGGGTCGTCTTATACGCCAGGTACACTTCAGATAGACTGCCCATAGTGCTTGCCCCGTGCCATAGTGGCCTCCCGATGCCCGCCCACTTCATTCCACATACCGTTCAGGCATCAGCAGCGCTGCTGGGTGTATGCTCGGGTGTTATGCGATTTTGCTGTTATGCGATTTTACCACACTCGCAAAATCGCACACAGCTGACCATACACCCAGTATGATAGCGCAAAATCGCGAATCGCGATACCATACTGGGTGTATGGTCGGAAGAGGGGGTAGTCTTATACGGCGAGTATATAACAAACTCTGTATTTTGAGTGGAAATGTTAGGGGGTCATCTTATACGCCCAGTCGTTTTATATGCCGGCAAATACGGTAATCATCCTTGACCTTTCATTGTCTCTTTTAAAGGCATTAATTGCCTCCACCAATAGCCATCCAATACCATTGTCTTTATAATTCCTACTTCCCCATATTTCTCAAATGTCCGATACCTCATACCCTAGTGCACTTCCTTCCACTGGTACACCATCCCAGTTCATCATCAGTGAAAGTTTTAACAATTGCAATGCTATCTTGTGCCTATGTTGCATCTATGGCCAGGGTAGGGTCCTCGTTGCCAGCCAGGCAGCAGGTGATCTAGCTTCAAAATCCCATAGTATCTTCTTTCTACCTGTCCTAGAACCATGGGGCAAACTCTGAAACGAAAACTAGCTTGCAGAAAGTTTCTAAGGGAGAACAGCTGTGAGGGAATGGAAAGATGCAAAACTAAGGAAGAAATGGAGATGCAAAGCATTCCCAACAAAACCTCAACTGACTTCTCAGGAAGCTCTGAATCTATGATAGCACTTCTGAGCTGCCCCAAGTTCAGGGGAGGGGCCTGACATTCATATGCCCGCATCAACCAGTCACTGGGTACAGGCTGCTTTGGGAAAAAGCCTTGGCCTTGGACAAAGTGGCTCTCATCAGTAGAGATTAATTGGAGTAAGTCCTCATTTCTGAAGAGGGGGTCTGGATGGTGCAGAACAGGATCCACGACAATAAGGGGCTTTTCAGAACTAAGGGGAACAGAGATGGGAACTGCCTTCAAGAAGGGGAAGAGCTTGGACAAGAATAACCCTCTTGCTGTAGGTAGTATGATTGTTTTCTTCATCTACTAGTTAATAGGATTTGATCCTAGTTACAAAATCTGCTCTCACTATAAAATAATTTTACAGATATTTTGTTAAGAGTTCTAGAAACATCTGAACAAAAATAATTATCTTCAGTTTAGAATGAGAGATCCCAGACAGCTTAACCATTTGATTATACTTCTGCTTTAATAGAATAACATTTGAAAATACACAGATATGCAGGAAACAGGTAAAGCAATATGAGGTATTAAGAGCACACCTGTGCTGTAATTTGGGTGTTAAGTTTGTAAGTGTAATAGCAATCATACTTCTAAACAAGCCATGTCCAATAGCTCTGTAAACACATCCAATGGTAATATAAGAGCAGTACATTTCACACCATAAAACATGTCAAATACCCACTCTAAATTCACTGTGTGTTTCATCTGGGTTTTTTCATAAAAAGGGCATATCTATAATTCACAGAGTTAGGTTCCTGAAGACTTAGGTAAGAAATATTGCCTATCAATTTGTTCCGCAAACTGAATTTTGAAAAAAGAGTATATATAATTTATTCTTTAGAGCACTTTTCATAGACATGTGGAGTTAATTTCATTGTGATGTTGGTTGAATATGATACAAAGGAAATGCAGGTATTTTCTAGGACAGTGTAGATAAAGGAGGCTTTAAGAATTCATGAGACAAAAAAGGAAAAATGTGATCAAACTTAAACTTCTTTTTCAGATGTTTTAAATTTTCTATAAAACTTTTTGTCCCAAAATTAATCATTGAACCATGGTACACCAAATACACTGAATGCATTGCCTGGAGTCAAGTTGGAAAATCCTCTCTTTTATTTAATAAAATTCTCTTCGGGTCCATCTTGATCCAAGTCCTGGTTGTCTGAATGCAGAGGCCTAAAGCTGTAATAGAAACCCTCATCACGATCTACTGGTTGGTATTCCTGTTCTATTGCAGTTGGGAAGTCAATGCCAGAGCCGCTTCCAGAGCCTGATCCAGAATAGTCCTCAGAAACAGGGAAGACATCCTTCAAGTTCTGGGGTCTCCTGAAGGAAGACAGAAAAATGAAAAACATCACAGTAAAGCTGAAGACATGAGGAAGATAATCGTAATATACTTTTTTTAAGATAATAAAATAAATGCAGCTACCCAGTTAATCAAATTAAAAGCTTCCCAGTTATTCAATGCTTTAAAACAAAAAACAAGACAGACCTTTCCTCATGTTTGTCTACATTTATTAAACCTAACTCATTGCATTTATTAAGTCCACTTTTACCCACTGCCAGCTCATATAAACAATGCTGATTTTCTTATCACTAGCATAGGAATCCTACATGTGGAATTTACTTATGGGATCATTTATTAAAAATAAAAAGACCAGGGCCGGCCGAGTGGCACATTGGTTAAGAGTCGGCTTGGGACGCCAGCTCTGGGCAGCAGGGCCCCAGTTCGGATCCCACATTAGAACCAGTGACACTGTACCCTCTACATCTAAGATGGTGAACAACAGCTTGACCTGGAGCTGGGCTGCCGTGAGTCACCGGCGACGGCATAGACTGCAGTGGGGCTGCAGTGGGCTGCCATAAAGCTACTGTGAGTGGCCGGCAGCTGGCGTGAGCTGCCAAGAGCTGCCGTGAGCGGCTGTCCAGTGGCCAGCGACTGATCTGCCCTATCTGGGAAGAGCACAATGATAATATCAACATGGGCCAGTGAAGCTATGTCCTCCACAGTTAGACTGAAGAACAAAAGGACAGCAACTTGTCTGTTCCCCTACCCCAATTCCCCAATAAAAATCTTAACAATAAACAAACAAATAAATAAATAAATAAATACCCCTTTTTACATTTTCTCCCACTAAAGAAAGGACAAACAAGTCAGTCAGTCTAGAGAGATGACATTTTTTCCTAACTTAAAATTTCGACAAAACTTCTAATAATTTACACTGCTTCAACAAAGCCCACTCTTAAGAAATTCTTTGTCAGAAGTTAAGCATTATATTTGCATATTCATATTCGATTTCCCCCCCAAAATAAGTGTATTCATTCATCTGGGATTAGTGTGGTGGTACTAAAAACCCAGAGCAATGGCGCCACCCCTCAGTGGCAAAAGAAGGCCACAATGTATCAGAGACAAACATTGAGTTTCACAGCCTATGGGTCATCTTCTCCATGAAAATAAAAAACAGGCCATACAACTGATTAGAATTTCATTCATGCATGCATTCAATAAATATTTATTGAACACCTGATCCCTTTTCTGAGCACTTGATAGAATGAGGATTGACAGATAGGGCCCCTGCTCAAGAAGTTTATAATTTAATGGGGAAGACAGACAATAAAAAGTGCATATATAAATCAGGAAACATTAGGTGGTGCTAAATGCTATGCAGAAAAATGAAATAGACTAATGTAATAGAGAGTGACCGGTGGCTAGTTTAGACTAAGGGGTCAGGGAAAAGGGGTCATAGCTGGAAACACAGATTTGGTAGTTACACACACACACACACACACACACACACACACACACACACACACACACACACACACACAGTATTGAAAGCCATAGAACAGGATGAGGTCACCTAAAGGAAGCATGCAAATAGAGAAAAGGCCCAGGACGGAGCCAGGGCCACACCACCATATTGACTATTGAGCAGAGGAGCAAGAACAGCCAGGGACATAGAAGGAAACCCAAGACAAGTTGGGGCCTTAAAAGCCCAGAGAAGAAAGCATTTCAAAGGAGGGGAGGTCAACTCTTTTTGAAGGTGATTAAGAAGTCAAATAAGCTAAGTCAGGTAAGCTAAACATAGAGAAGTAACCAGTGGCTCTGTAAACCAGGAGTAACTGTGACCTTAAGAAGCACTGTAAGTGGACAATGGAAAAAGAAGTCCAACCAGAAGAGGCTGAGGAGAGGAGTGGGGAGAGCAAGCATGGGCTACCCTTTCAGGAAGCGCTACTGTAGAGAGGGGCAGAGAGCGGGGCAGTCGCTGGAGAGGATGCATAGCTGAAGAAGGGATGTTCCCTAAATGTAGGAGATACTAGATAGAGAAGGTCTGCATACTGATGGGAAGAAGACACTGTGTTTAGAGGGGTTATTGCAGACTTGAAGTCCTGGAGAGGGTGTGTGGGGATAGGATACCCAGCACAAGGAGTGGTAGCCTTAGAGGCTGCCACAGTCAGAGTCCAATCAGGAAACGTATCTAAATATTTACCACAGGGAAGTGCTTACACGTGTGATGGAAGAGACGCAAAGCCAAATGGGGAATAGTGAGGAAACCCAGAGATTAGGGAACGTGCACTCCCATCTCCCTTCCGTTCCTCCCATTGGCCAGTCTCAGCCACAAATCTGGCAGCCTGAGAAATGCAGACCACAGGAATCAGCCCTCAGTGCCCACCCAATACAGAGCAGGGAGCGGGAGGGAGAAGAATTGGATCTGAGGGCAACCAGGTCCAGGACCTACACAGAAATAGGGAAGGTCATCCATGGTGACAGGAGTGTCAGAGTGAAAAGGAAAGTTACTGGCTGTGGAGAGGAAATACCATTGAGATTTAAGGAGAGGAGAAATGGTGTAAAAATGGTTGTTTTGGAGAACTTGGGTTATTCCTCTAACATTTTAGATTTAAATGAATTACTATTGGAACTTATGACTTAAAATGCAACTTAGACTTATGACTTAAAATCATGGTATTTATTTATTTATTTATTTATTTATTTACAGATTTTTATTAGGGAATTGGGAGATGGGAACAGCACTGGGGAACTGGAGGAAGGGGAGCAGACAAGTTGCTGTCCTTTTGTTCTTCAGTCTAATTGTGGAGGACGTTGCTTCACTGGCCCAAGTTGGCACCATCATTGTGCTCTTCCCAGGTGAGGCAGATCAGTCGCCCACATCTGGACGGCCGCTCACGGCGGCTGCTGGCCGCTCACACTGGCTGCTGGCTACACACGGTAGCCCATGGCAACCCACTGTGGCAGGGGCTTCAGCCTATGCTGTCGCCAGCGACTCACGGCAGCCCAGCTCCAGGTTGAGCTGTTGTTCAGCATCATAGCTGTGGAGGGCAATGTCACCGGCCCTCATATGTGGGATCCAAACCGGGGCCCTCTGGTGTCCCAAGCCCTCTCTTAACCAACACACTACTCAGCCGGCCCTATGGTATTTATTTTTCATTTGCCTAATTTCTTCTTCTTTTTTTTAAATCATGACTATCTAATTCCAGAATGTTTTTATCATCCCTCAAGAATCCCACACCTATTAACAATCTCTTTATTCCTCCCTTCCCCGAAGCCCCTGGCAACTACTAATCTATTTTCTGCTTCTATGTATTTATCTATTCTGGACATTTCATATAAGTGGAATCATATGGCTTTTGGTGTCTGGTTTCTTTCACTTTGCATAGTGTTTTCAGGATTTATCCATGTAGTATGTATCAGTACTTCATTCCTTATGATTAAATAATATTTCATTTTAGAAATACACCACATTTTGTTTATCCATTCAGTTGAGGGACTCCTATTAGATTTTAATATCTAATGGGCTCTGTTTACATAAATAAAATAATGTTCAATAATTTTCAATACCTGTTGGTGAAAAATATTTTCACCAATTATTTTCACAACGTTTTCATTCAATTTTTGTCTCTGCCCAAACAAAAAGACTTTGCAGAAGCAGAGATGAATCATGTATTCTTGCACATCTTATATACCAGTAAATACAGTACAGTTATATCATGTACTGCACAGTGAAAACCAAACCACCAAAGCAAAAGCCTGAAGAAAATCACTCTGGATGACCTTCCCATCTCCATGCCAGGACCTTAACAGAAGTAGGTGAAAGTGAAAGTAAAGTCCACTTACAAAAAAGGGTCAATCCTTGGAGGGAGAATTCTGTTGGATTGTTCTGGAAATGGGTCAAACATTGGTCCCTTTTCATCGATGCAGTTTGCAGAATTACTGTTGGGATTGCAGCGGACCCGCTGGTATCTGGCTCTCCGCAAGGGTGAACCTGCCCAAATAAGGAATCCATGTGGTTAATAAGTACCTCTTACACAGCTTCTAATCTCTCTGTCCCTGAGAAATGTTTAATAAATTCTAAATTTGGTAGAAGGAAAAGTGTGGACAGGTTGTATGACCATTACTATAACAGGAGCACCCACTATGTACCTTTATATACATCGTTTATACTCTCAACACCCTTACAAAGTAGCCCAGAGCTGAAGGTTAGAATAGGCTTTGCAATCAGCTGCCTGGAGTGAAGTCCTAGCTCTGCTGCTTCTGAGCTGTGAAATTTTCACTTCCCCAAATCCCCACTATAAAACAAAGATACATGAGTATCTCTTAGTGTCTCTTTTTCATAAGCTGGTCACAAAAATCAAATGAGAAAATGCGTATAAAGACCTTCACATATTGCCAGGCACACAGTAAACACTTGTAAATAATGTTAACTATTATTATTTTTGTACTATTATCTCCATTTCATACAAAGGAAAACTAAGGCAACACAAGCGCTAAGTAGAGGACCCAGGATTCAAACCGTATTTGACCCTAAAGCCTGCCTCTTTTTATAAAGATGAGTTGAATCATGTTCAGAAAGGTTAAGGAATACACTGAATGTGTCTGAAACTAAATTAGAGTCCTAGCTGCTTAGGGCCATATGGTGCTCTAGGAATGAAAAGTAGATAAAAACGTGGCCTCTTTCTTTGCCCTCTGATACAGTCAGAGATTCGAAAAAACAAGGTTCCTTGGTTCACAGAGGGACAGACAGGTTTGAATATCCTAGATTGTCACAGCTTCTTTTGAGTTTAATTTCTATGCAAAAGGCTTCAAATCTGGTGTTATGGGGTTATATAGGAGATTTCTTATTAATTCATAAAATAAACTCTTCATTCCTCAATTTATTTGGCAAGGATAGAGGCCTCGTGATGAGAAATACTTCACCACCCTTCAAAACGTTCGTCTCTTCCCCACCCCAAGCATACACTTTATTCACACAAGTGCAACTAATAATCACCTAGCAAGAAGAGGCATGTCTACAATTCTTTTTTTTTATTTTTTTATAGTTGACATATAGAATTTTTGAAAAGCAGAAAAGGTAGTTTTAAAGCACAGCACATTGTTGTCCTATACAGATCAAAATGTAAATGATAACAACTATTTTAGAGAAAAAAAAAAGGACAGTGCTATGGACAATCACTGCAGCATTTTTTTGCAATAGCAAACGATTGGAAAATTAAATGTTAAATAAATTAAGATATAACCTACAATACTCTGTATCTATTAAAAGAATGAAACAGCTCCTTGGGTACTGATATAGAATAACCTCCAAGGTATACTATCAAGTGAAAAAAACTAACAAACACTACACACTGCGTGTTACTATTTGTGTGTGTTTGTGTTTTTAAGAATATATTCACATACATGCTTACGTGCATGGAACACCTCTGAAAAGATACACAACAAACTGATTGCCTGTGTGGGGGAACTGGTGGCTGGAAGACAGTGGAAAAAAGGACACTGATTTTTTACTGCATATCCTTTTGAACCTTTCGATCTGAGCCATATGTATGCGTTGTCTATTCAAAATCAATTATATTTATTTTTAACAGCTTCTATCTGATGGAATTGAAATACAATAAGCTGCACATATTTAAATTGAACAATTTAATGTTTTGACATATGAATACTCCATTGGAATCATCTCTACCATCAAAAATATGAACCTATCCAATACCCCCAAAGTTTCCTTGGGCCCTTTGTAACCCTGCCCTTCTCTCTCTCTCCTCTTGATTCTTCCTGACCCTACCCAGCCATTAATCTGCTTTCTATCATTATAGATTAGTTTGAAATTTCTAGAATTTGATATAAATGAACTCGCACAGCAACTTGTCAGAGGGTTTCCTGGCTTTGTTTTAACTAGTCAAGAGACTAGTCAAAAGGGGTCTCTACCTTTTACAGCACCTCTCCTAGAAATGGAAATTTATTTAGATATTCCTTACATCTAGACTACTTTTGTTGCCAATTTTTAAAAATGACATTTATGTTAGAAGAAGAATATGTGTTGATTACAGAAAACTTTGTAAAATGTAGCAAACAAAAGAAAGGGAAAGTTACCCCTAATCTCTTTACTTAACCCCCCAAAGATCATGAATTTTGGAGTTTAGCTTTTTTTCCCCCTGGACATCTGTGTTTTACAGAGATTCACAAGCTGTATCCTGCTCTCTTCTGACAGTAACTATCAGAGATTGAAAAGTGGAGCTTTTGCTGAGGTCAAGTTCACATTTCATCTCAATGGGATGATCAAGAACATTGTTCTTTAAAGACTGCAGAACCACAGAATATTTTCCAAATGTCCTTTTTCCTCATGACTCTCTATTATCTCTATCTATTCTCAACTTTTTCTTAGCTAGTATCTCTGATTAATTTTATAAACACAACATTGCCAAGTTATTAATCATTAAGATATACATGATACATATTTATATGTATCTATAGAGATCTATAGATAGATCAAATATAATATATAAAAAATACATGAAGCTGTTCATCTTAGTATTATTTAAAATAGGGAAAATAACTAAGTAGTCAAAACAATAGAAAATACTCAGATAAATTTTGAGGTATGGAAAAGACTATGTAACATCTTGGGAAAATCTATGTTTTAAAATGAGTGAAACAAGCAGAAGACCACTCTATATGCCTAATAGTTGTTAATATGCATAATAGTTGTTAAATGCAACTACATAAAGAGATATTGGGAGGGAAATACAGGAAAATAACTATAGTGGTAGACTGGTGATTTTTGTTCTCATTTCATTTTATAAGTTGCTATAATAAATAATATTTCTTTAAAAATATAAAAAAAAGAAAGACTCTGATGTTGGAAAAAAGTAAATATTCTCCCATTGTCTTTCTTTCTTTCCTTTCTTTGGAACTGCTATTCTAATGCGATCTTCGCCATGGTCCCTGAATATAGCTTACAATGTCTGGTCTGGGACAGCTAGTCATCCAAAATGGGTTAGCTCTGTCACTGCCTGGAGGGTGGAGGTAAGGTAGAAAGATTGATATCACAATGTCTGCCCCTTACCAGCTGTGTGACCTTGACCAACTTACTTAACGTCCCTGTACCTCGATTTCCTCATCCATAAAATGGGGACAGTAATAGATCTAATAATGACATATAAGTGTTAGGTTCTTAGAATAGCACCATGGTCAGAGCTCTTTAAGTGCTAGTTTCTCTGATTAGGAGAACAAAGAGCTATTTCTGATAGAGGACAGCTTCTAGAGAGACCAGAATTTAAATTCCTATTTTCCCATTTAATGCCTCTCTGATTCTCAATTTCTCATCTTTCAAATGTGATTAATAGTATCCCAAAGAGTTCCTGTTTAAGCAGATAAACGTGTTTGAAACATCTAACACAAGCCTTTGCATATGGTAGGTATTTAATACATTTTAGCTCTTTCTTTCTCCTCTGGTTCTTTCCTGAAGCAGCCTAAGTTTGGAATCTAATTGCTACTTAAAAGCCTCATCTTGTAGGTGGGATAAAAACCCAACATCTCCTTCAGCAGAGGGCGCTGTCTTCACACCCTATGTTGTCTAGACCAGGGCCGTCCAATAAAAACATAAGAAGAAACCACGTATGAAATGTTCAATGTTATAGCAGCTATCTTTTAAAAAGCAAAAAGAAACAAGTGAAATTAATTTTAATAAATTTTATTTAAACCAATATATTCAAATATTGTCATTTAACATATAATCAACGTAAAAGTTTCTAATGGATTCTTTACATTCTTTTTTTCATATTAAGACTTCAAGTCTGGTGTACATTTTGCACTTAAACCACATTTCAGTTTGTACTCACTATGTTTCCCACACTTCAAGTGTTCAGTAGCCACAACTGGCTCATGGCTACCATTAGGCAATTTCCTGTACTGCGTCTGATACACTGAATATCAAGCTGGGGAATTGTTTGCATAGATAGGAAGTTAAACAGAAAAGCAAAACTAATACTTCATGAGGAAGAATGCATGTGAAAGACCACATCTTTTCACTGGTATAACAAATACAACTTTGATAAATTAGTAAAAATAAAATCTAAAATAAAAAAATTTCCCCAGAGTTCTAAATCTCAGCTTTTAAAACTTATAAATGGGGTTCTTTTGCAGGGGTGATAAGATGTTCTAAATTGACTATGGTGATGGTTGCATGAATCTGTGAATATGCTAAAAACCATTGAATTGTTTGGGTGAATTGTATGGTATGTGAATTGTATCTCAATAAAGCTGTTTAAAAATTTACAAAGAAATCAAAGGTAGAAGTCCCCCCACACCACCAGCACTCCAAAAGTTTATCTGATTTGGGACTGATGCTTTTAAATCTACTTTAAAATATAGAGCAGCATTACAGACACATAGTTCCTGACATACCTGTTCAAGGTGGGTAGCAGGATGTGACAATTCAACAGTTCCAGCCCCGTCCCCCTAATGTTGTAGGACATCTTGACTCTATCTTGCTTGAGAGAAATATCTTATGATTACCATATTTTAAAAAATAAAAGAGATTATGCTCATGGACAGAAAGGTTATCTTCCTAAAAGGCTCTACTTCCTGGCTCTGCTGGTTGATTTTAAAGTGGATTCTGGGGAGAAGAATGGTTTTTATTTAGAATTCCTTCCCTCGCTGTCCATCGCTCTCTCTCTCTCTCTCTCTCTCTCTCTCTCTCTCTCTCTCTCTCTCTCTTTTTGTCACTAGTCCAGCTTTACCAAAATACTTTCTGTAAATAAATATTACCAGATCAAATAGCTAACCCCAGTAAGCTCTCTGTATTTTTTTATATTGTAGTACCAATTTCCCCCCACCATCATCACAGTTTACTGATTTCCTACTCTTAATGGGGACTTGCTATACAGGTGTGTTAGAGAAACTTAAGCAGAAACTGCATGCGGGTCAGGGTAGGAGTTGGGGAGACCATTTTGATTTACTGTTTGGTAGAATTCAAACAGAAATCCCTAAGCTGGGGTTGCTTCCCACTGGCCAATCAATTCCATAATATGGAGAGGGGTCCCCCACATTTGCATGTTTTGACAAGCTATAAAAAGCTTACTTTCGATTTCTCCCTCTCTGTCTCTCAACTCAGAGATAAACTTAACAGCAAGGGCTATAGTCAAAGCAAGGTTTTTTTGTTTAAAATAAGGAAAATCTCTAATCCACCTAGAAGACAGCCAAGTTGCAGTAGAAAGTTAACTCTGACCTTGCAAGTAAGCTACCAGTTCTGCCACTAATTAGTTGTAATAGGTCTTGGGCAAGTCTCATAAATGATTTGCAAGAGGTTGATGTAAAGAGCAAATCAGATGATGAATGTAAGATCCAATTTTCTCCTCTCTAAATTGGTGTTAATTCCTCCTCATAGAAAAAAGTGATTATTTACCAGAGAATGTATGTGAAATCACATTACAATCCAAGAGCACACACATAGGTGGAATCACTATCATTATCATTATTGTGATCCAGGAGGCAGTAGGGAATAGACACCCCCTTGGCCATACCTGCTCATAGATTTTCCAGTTTCTCTCTCTATGGGCATCTTTGAAAAAGAGGCAATAAAAGAATTGAGGAATCACAATCCTCTGGAGCTCTACATTAAATTGATTAGCCATCCGTGCCCTCCAGGGTCTCCCACATTGCCAAGCTTTCATTTCTTGGCACTCGTAACACAGTTTTACACCATGTCTTTACTTGGGTTTGACTTATAGTAACTGAAATGGGCTGACTTATGTCCCCATAATTCATATGTTGAAGTCCTAACCCCTGCAGTACCTCAGAATGGGGCTGTATTTGAGACAGGGCCTTAAAGAGATAATTAAGGTAAAATGAAGTCCTATGGATGAGCCCTAATCCCATACGCTGGTGTCCTTATAAGAAGAGTACATTGGGACACAGAGGAAGAACCACGTGAAGACAGAGAGAAGACAGCCAAGGGGAGAGGTTTCAGAATGAAGCCAACCTGCTAACACCTTGATCTTGGACTTCTAGCCTCCCAAACTGTAGAGAAATAAATTTCTGTTGTTTAAGCCACCCAATCTGTGGTACTTGTTATGGAAGCCCTAGCAAACAAATACAGTAACCTAAGATATTTTGAATATGTTCTATAAAAGCAAGCCAAAAGCCTAGTTAATTTGATCAGCTCAATCAAACCAATGGGTTCAGTAAAACATTTTTAAAAGGTGGGGAAAGAATGCTATCGAGTCATATCTCGCATGATGTGGATGTGCAGTAAAATAGTGCTGTGGCTCTTTGTATCGCAGCCTTGGGCTGCTATCACTCACATGCGCTGCTGTGGGTGGGCATCTATTTCCCTTCTTATTCAGAACTGAGCACAAACCTTTAATTCCAACACCAAGTGAACTTCCCTTTTGGAAACACCCTCGTTTTTCAGTTCATTTATTCTCTCTTTTTTGGTTTCTTTTCCAGCAAAGAGCTACACCTACTAGTGAATGACATAAATACTAGTACTTTATACAATTTCGTAATGGTTTCTTTCTTCACTTCTTTCTGATGAATACCTACTACATAGGAACATTTTTGTTTTAATTCTAGTTTTACTTACTGACTCTTAGTGGGAAATGTGACATTTCTGGGAAATTTTGAAGATGTAAAGACTTATATAGCTGTGGTCACACTGGTCACACTAGTTTGTGCTACAAACACAGCTCTCTCTGCTCTGGATCTTGTCAGAACACATTATGGAATTATTTCATTAAACTGAAGATTTCCCCTAAAAATCCAAGTAAAGCCTGTTCCCTACAATTAACACATGTTCTATACTTTTAAAAAGAAATAGATTAGTGGGAAAGTTTCAGCAATGTCACTTGCTGTTTTCTTTTCTCTTCAGCAATTGCATAACAAGAAAAAAAGTGATTTTATAAATTTTCAATACATAATTAATGTATGTGAGGCCATCTATACAATTTAATTTCCACCAGAAGTAAAAAAAAGACAACTAGAAGTCACTTCAAAAGAACAAATCCGGGACATGTGTGTCACCATGACTCAATATTTCCTTTACGATTTAGGAGAACTTAATGTTTTTCTACTATAAGTTCTCCCATCTATTTGTCAGGTCATGATCTTCTGACTTGTTTAGACATAATCCTTTATTTACCAAAGAAGAAGAAATTGTATATTTCTTTAAAAACTGATCATTCTTGTTTTCTTAATCATTCAAGGTTTTACGTTGTTTTAGTCTGACTAACCAGCCCTAAATGACATAGAAACCTAACAAGAAATTTACAATGTTTCTCTGAGCAACAGCACAAATAGTAAAATTCTGTGGCCTCTCTTTAGAATCTAAGAGGATTTACATTACTATGCCTAATCATAATTGAATTTTCACTAAGAATCAGGTTTAAAAAAGAAAGAAAGAAAGAAAAAATACACAGTCAAACTTACTCTGATTAAAAAATAGCACTTCCCAGTGTTACAATAATTATCATACCACCGTAATATATTAAAACTTGGGATTGATGTAGACACTCAGGTAAAAACTGCAAAACACTCAAAGGTGTCATCTCCATGCAACCGGTCATTATTCCTTTCTTGAGGTTTTAAAAGTTTACAAACCATATACATTTCCACCCAAACATAAAAATAGCACAATTTTAATCATTGCGTTTACAAGGCTGTACCTGCCTGAGCATTTATTTTTTCCTGGTACCCAATTTAACCAAACTCACACTAAGGAGTTAAGCCACCCCAAATCCTTTTCCTTACCTTATTTCCCACACCATAATACATTCTGTACTTTAAAGGGAGTATAACTTTTTGTGTGGACCCTGGGGCTTACAAAGAAGATTCCAGGGGGACAAGAATCCTGAGTCTTACCTTGAACTGCAGAATCCAAAACCAGGATGAGGGCGAGGACCAGGACCAGCCTGCTGCACTGGAGGAACACCTGCATCGTGAACAGCTCACTTCAGCTCTACCGCCTGCACGCCAACCTCACGATTTGGAAATGTAGCAGGGTGCTCTCTGTCCCTTTTAGAAAGGGTTCCAAAACCTCAGACCCTGCCCAGAACACACGTCACAATTTCCTGAACAAATAGAAAGAGATCTACATCAAAACCCAGAAAGATAAAAAAAAAACAGGCAGCAAAATAAGTATTCATACCCATTATGAAACTGCATTCCTCTACCCAGCTCTGGTTTTTCAAAAGCTTTGCTGTTTTCCACTTGAAAATTTTCCCCACGAAACAGTGGAATCAGCATTCAGCACAGTTTGCTTTTCCTTTCTTCAGGTAATAATCTAAACATGAGATTGCTACCATTAAGAGTCCACTACACTGTTGGTGAGATAAAGGAGCTAGGTGGTGACTTTTCACCACTGTGTGCCTTCCACATAAAATATTCTTAATTTTCTTTTTCATCAAGAGTAACATAACTCACTGAGCCAAACTCAAGAGGTGAAACTTCAAAGCTAAATTCTAATCTACAAGAGAGTGTTGTCGGATTTCAGATAACCAGTTTCTTCTTTTTGGATTAAGTTTCTCCCTTTGAATCACAGGCTCTCCCTCGACCTCAAGAATAGAGTGAGTATTTTCACTTACAAAGAGCTAGGTAAGACAGAAAAATGATTTTCCACTCCTCTGCTCCTTCACACCAAGTATTTCTTTTTTTTTTTTTTTAAAGATTTTATTGGGAAATTGGGGGAGGGGAACAGCGTTGGGGAATCGGAGAAGGGAAACAGACAAGTTGCTGTCCTTTTGTTCTTCAGTCTAGTTGTGGAGGACATCACTTCACTGGCCCATGTTGGTATTGTGATCACTGTGCTCTTCCCGGCTGAGGCAGATCCGTGGCCAGCCAATGGACGGCCACTCACGGTGGCTCACAGCAGCTCACGCCGGCTGCCGGCCACTGCAGCCTAGGCCGTCGCAGGCGACTCAGGCAACCCAGCTCCAGGTCAAGCTGTTGTTCACCATCTTAGTTGTAGAGGGCGCAGCATCACTGGCCCTCAAGTGGGATCCTAACTGGGGACCTGCTGCTAAGAGCTGTCGTCCCAAGCCCACTCTCAACCAACGCACCACTCGGCTGGTCCCCCAAGTATTTCTTATGATTAGATTCCATTTACACTTTCATCTTTTTTCCTGGTAAAAAATGTCAACTTGAGTTTTGGGTCCTCTGGCTTTGAATAAGCTGGAAAGCAGAAACGAGGGGAGGTTGTCCTCTCAGTGGGCTGCTGGCCCTCAGAAAACACACAAACCACTGCCCTCTGTAAATTAAGGAACAGCATTTTCCCAGGTCCCGGGGATCGTGTGCAGACTTCTGCAGGACTGAGGAAAATCAAGTACAAGCTCCATATTAAAGTCACACAATAAACACAACCGTCTATCAGGCATTCCTGCCCATGCGGCACCTACTTTTTCCTCACTTCCATTCAAGATTCAACCACACTCCCTTTTAACATCTCTGCCCCTACAGCTCCCACTTGCCATTTCATCCTCACCCTGGCCTGGCCTTTGACAGGAGGGAGGAGTTTCCCTTTACTTGCTTCGGCTTCCTGCTGATTCCTTTACCATTTCCTGCTAAGGACAGCACTCAGAATCTAATCGCTGAGTAGCTGTCATGCAAGTAAACAAGGGTTACAAAGAATGCACATTGCGACCCTTCTCAGAACCTCCTGGAATTGTGCCCAGGACTCCTCTGAGGGCAGTAACCAACCCCCAAACTCCCAAACCCAGGGAGTTCCCCACTATGGAATATTGGTTTCAGCTTGAAATAACAGCCCTCATCTTCAGTCTCTTTTAATCCTATGCCCCAATTTAAAACCCTGACAATAAACCCTGTCAATAGCTTCCATTAATTTCCTGCAAAACATCAGAGCTGATTAGAGTTTGTGCTTTAAAATGGTAATTTTGGAGGCTTTTTTTCTAGGTACATCATTTTTTCTTTCTTTGGGTTGTGGTGATTTTCTAAAAATAATTTGCAGCATTCATAAGCATTTGTTCTTCTCCCAGTACACTGACAACCAACAGTTTCTTTTTCTAAATAGCCTTCCTCCAGTTTCATTTCCCTAGTTCTCTTCAAGTTGTAAAGGAGCAGGATAGATGCCTTCAGCAGCCAGAAGCTCTAAGTCAGAACTTGTCTCCCTCACTTACCAGCTGAGAGATGCTGGACCATCCACTCTTCATGCCCCCATCGTCTCAGTGCTAATGATGGTATAGAAAACCAATGAGAGGATGCCCACAAAAAAGTCACGGCACACACTGTGAGGGTCACATTGGCAGATGCTGAATACCATCTTCTTGCCCAAAGTTTCCTCCATTAACCAAAAAGAGAACCCCTATGTTTCCCTAAACCTCAGCTTCTACCATAAGCATGTTTCTATAACTTTAAAAGACAAATTCTGACTTAACCCTTCATTTATCAGGCAACCTTAAATGCACCTAGTTTACTTCACGCTGAATTGATTTGCCTGTAAAATGGCTATCTTTATTTCTTTATAATTACCCTGGAACAGGACACTAATCAGTCCTTGTCTAAGAAAGTAATGTAACCCCTCCCACCAAAGCATTGCAAACATCACTCACTTTTCACTAGCTATTGGTTCCTGGCTGGTCTTTTTATTTTATTTTATTTTTTTAATGTATTGGGGAGCAGCCATCGTCATTGGCCACACATTGCCCCCATGCTACAACAGCATAGCTGACTCCCTTAAGGAGGGTGCAGCTCACAGTGGCCCACAAGGGGACTGAACCAAGCAACCCCGGTGCCATCAGCACCACACTCCAACCAACTGAGCTAACCAGCCACCCCCTGGCTGGTCTTTTTAAAAAGGAGGGTCAAGTTGGAGCACTTGAACCTTTCCAGCATTACAACTCAGCAGAACACTTGTTAAGATAAATCGAGGTTGGAAGATGGCAGAGTAGGTAAACGCTGTACTCGTCTCCTCTCATGACCACATCAAAATTACGACTAAATTATAGAGCAATCACCAGAGAATCACCTGAAGTCTAGCTGAACAGAATTCCTATAATTAAGGATATAAAGAAGAAGCCACGTTGAGACTGATAGGAGGGGGAAGAGACGTGAAAAGGGCTGGTCCCACACCCATATATGATGGTTAAGAATCAGGTGGGATATCTCGGCTACGGAAGTCCCCATTGAGGATCAAGGGGTCCCAGCCCCACACTGGGCTCCCCAGCCCAAAGCACTAATGCTGGGAAAAGGAATCCCCACACAACTGGCTGTGGAAATCAGCAGGGAAGCAGTCCTGGTGAGACAGAATGCTGCTGCAGACCCAGGCGTCCTCTTAAAGGGCCTGAACACAGACTCACTTGCTTACAAACACTGGTCCTAAGCTCCAGCAAAGTGATAGCAGCTCAAATAGTACCAGGGACCTATGAAGAGGAGCTGAATTTTCTAGCTTCAGGGAAAGGGCTGGAGGGGCTGCTCTCTCCCGGACTAAAGGGCTGGCAGACCCCATTGTTTTTTTTATTGAGTCCTTCTCCCACCTAGTCAGCAGACACAGGTGGGCACCAAATCCGAGTCCCCATTACCTAGCTAACACCACTCTTGACCCACCCTGGATTCTCTGAGACCCCACCCCACCCATTCATGCACCCACCTTGAAACTCTTTCAGAGGCTAATCCACACAAGTGGCCAGCCTGCAACTATGTTGTGTACTTTCCTAACACCTCTCAAAGGTCCACAAACCTCAAACAGTGGCTGGCCTTGGTGTGTCCTGTACCTCTTGCTAAGCAGCCCCAAGCTCAGCACTAGTGTCAGCTAGCCTCAGTTTATAGTACAACCACTCCCAGGTGCCTCCAAGCTCAGCACAGGCAGCTATCAACCTCAGATCACTTTGTAGCTCCTACCAGGTGGTTATGGGCCTAATACAGGCAGCGGCTGACTTTGGTCTACACCACAGCTCCTCCCAAGAGGCTCCAGAACCAACACACCTAGTGGCCAGCTTCAGGCCACATAATCACCTCCACAAATGACACATCCAAAAGGTGGACTCAGCAAGTACCAGAGCTTCACTAAAGTGAATCCTGCTATGTGGGGTCAGCAACCACAACAGTTTGTCCACTATAGTCATGGCCACTCCTCACAGCCAGTCAACCTGAGACTTAATCCCACCCAATGATGTGCCAACAGCAATCAAGGCTCAACTACTGGTTGTCGGAAAAGTCATGACGCATGTTTGCGACAGATGGCACTAGTTCATTTTTGGAAGTACTAGACTCATTCACATCTATGTTATTGCTATGTCATTTGACAGCTGACAGTTCTAGCTTAATTCTAAAAAAAATTGAGCAATGTGGTTGAGTTTTGGAGATTTTACAGTAAGCTGAAGATGGAAGACCAAACTGTGTATTTTTGCCATATTTTATTGTTTTATTTCCATAAAGGGAAGAACGCAGGTCAAGCTTGTGAAAAGTTGCATAAAGTTTATGGTAACAATGTTCTACAAGAAAGTCAGTGTCAACGATGGTTCATGAAATTCTGTGCTGGTGATTTTGATCTCAATGATGCTCCTCAGTCAGGGAGGCCCACGGAGGTTGATGACGACAAAATAAAGGCAATGATCAAGTCAAACCCACGTTACATGACATGAGAGATTGCAGAAACATTGAACATCCATCATTCAAGTGTTCATGACCACCTGAAGAAGCTGGGATACGAAAGCAAGCTTGATATTTGGGTTCCGCATGAACTCAAAAAAGTTCATTTGACAGCATGTATAAACGTCTGCAATATGTTCATTAAATGTGAAGAAAACGATCCTTTTTTGAAGCAACTGATAACTGGTGATAAGTGGATTGTTTACAACAATGTGGTGCGCAAACAGTCTTGGTCCTGACGTGATGATCTGCCTCAAGCGACACCAAAAACAGACATTCATCAGAGGAAGGTTATACTCTCAGTGTGGTGGGATTTTAAAGGTGCTGTGTTTTTCAAGCTCCTACCACGGAACCAAACAATCAATTTGAATATGTACTGTCGGCAATTGGACAGTTTGAATGAATCCATTATCCAGAA